GGAAGCTGAGGCAGGAGGGTTACTGTGAGTTCCAGGCCAGCCTGGCTGCATAGTGAAACCCAGTCTCAAAAAGGCAAAAAAAAAAAAAAAACCAACAACAACAAGAAAAAAAAAAAAAAACTCCTATGATGAAAACTACAAAACACTGTTAAAGGAAATTAAAGAACATTTAAATAGGGAAAAAGACCAAATCTGTGTCCACAGATTAGGAGATCTGATGTTATTAATATTACTAAGTCTCTAAGTTGCTCTAGAGATCCAGGGTAGTCCTTATCAAAATTCTTGTTTTAGTTTATATTTTGCAGACAATGACAAGCTGATTCTAAACTTCATAAAGTAATGAAAAGGACCCAGAATAATGAAAACAATTTTGTAGGGGGCGAGCAGTGAAGGAACTCATACTTGTCAATTTTAAAACTGACTGTAGGGCTGGGGATATAGCTTAGTGGCGTAAGGGCCTGCCTGGCAAGCACAAGGTTGTGAGTTCGATCCCCGGTACTGCAAAAAAAAAAAACAAAAACTGACTGTATAGCCACAGCAATCAAAAGAGTGCAGAGTGGGCAGGGTGTGAGGAGAGAAATACTTGCCACAGAATGGAATTGAAAGTCCTAGATCAAAAATAAAAGAAAAAGAGAAAAGAAAGTCCAGAAATAAACCCTTCATTTATAGTTAACTGACTTTCAGCAAGGTCGCCACAAACACTCAGTGGGGAAGAAGTCTTTTCAACCAAAGGTGCTGGGATGACTGGAGAGCCACATGTAAACATTTATAAAAAATGAAATCAAAGTTATCAAATTCCTAGATGATGGAGACCACTACAAAGCAGCCCTGAGCAGGACTTAAATTAACCAATGGCTTTTCAGGTTTACTTGTGAATCTATCCAAAGCCTAGGCTGCTTGTCTGGGAGTGGGCAATGGTCTCATAGTAAGTGAACCTCCGTGAGTCACTAATCCCTACTAAGACCTGTAATGGCAGATGAAACAAAGATGTCAGCCCAAAGGGGGTGTCCGCCACAGTTTGAGGAGGGGAGAGGAGGGGAAAGCCTCAAAGGCTAAGACAAGATCACAGCCAAGGACACCTGGATCAGATCTCAACTAGATAAGGACTATAGCCTCAGGCATCTCAATTCTGGGTGGATTAACTTAATACCTTACTTAGAGAAGTCCTTGAGTGGTTCTGCCCTTCTTGAGTACACCCCTCCCTTCTTCTGGTAACCAAAAAAATATGGGCCACCCAGAGAAGGTCACGGTCTTAGCCCTGAGAGAACCTTGAATTCTGTGAGAGGGCTTTGATCTTCCTGGAGCCCTGAAATCATTGCATTTCCCTCTTTTTTTTTTTTTTTCAGACAGGGTCTCACTATGCAGTGAAGGCTGGCATTGAGCTCACTTAGTAGCCCAGGCTGGCCTGATACTCACAAAGTTTTTCCTGCCTCAGCATCCCAAGAGCTGAGATTACAGGTGTGTGCCCCCACACCCGGCCATTTGCCTTTTTATTTAGCCTTTGCCACCATACACTGATATAGGAGATTGTGGACCTGATAAGCCCCCAATAGCAATAACTAAGGGATATTATTAACTCCATACCTAGTTGTAAGAGTGACAGCAATCACTCAGGAAAAAAAAAATACATGAACCTTTGTAACCTCAGGTAAAGCCATGGTTTCTTAGATAAGACACCTAAAGCATAAGCAATGAAATTTCATTAAAATTAAAAGTTTGTGTATCAAGAGCTGGGAATTTAGCTCAGCAGCACAGCACCTGCCTGGCAAGCGCAAGGTCGTAAGTTTGATTCCCAGTACTGGAAAAAAACAAAACAAACAAAAAAAAGTTTGTGTATCAAAAGACAACCCAACAAATGGGAGAAAGTTTTTGCAAATCACGTATCTGATAAGCATCTAGTAACAAAAAGAATATATATATATATATATATTTTTTTTTTTTTTTTGCAACTCAGTAATAAAAAGGCAACCCAATTGTAAAACAGGTAAATAGCCAAGCATGGTGGTACATGTCTGTTTTCCCAGCACTCAGCGGGGCTGAAGCAGGAAAATTTCAAGTTTGAGCCCAGCATGGGCAACTTAACAAATTAACAAGATGCTGACTCATAGTAAAAGCAAAAATATAAAGGGTTGGGCATGGCATGTAGCTCAAAGGCCCTGGGTTCAATTCCTAGTCAATGCAGAAAGAAAAAAAAAATCCAAGATTCTTTTTTTTTTGGTACTGGGACTCAGGACCTTGAACTTGCTAGGCAGACACTGTGCCGCTGAGCTATCTCTCCAACCCTAGGATACACCTTTCTTTCTTTCTTTCTTCCTTTTTTTTTTTTTTTTTTTGGTCTTTTTGAGACAGGGTCTCGCTATGCAGCTCAGGCTGGCCTTCATCTCACTTTGTAGCCCAGGCTAGTCTCGAACTCACAATGATCCTCCTGCCTCAGCCTCCCAAGTGCTGGGATTAAAGGTGTGGGCCACTATGCTCCACCCTTGCATCTTTCTCTAGGTAACTGCCCACATTTGCCAAGCCCAGCCGCTCAGCCTGTGCTCGCTGGTGCACTCAGTGAGGGCTGAGTGACAGCTGCCACCTGACTGGGAAGGGCGCCTCTCACCTGTTGCAGCTCGTGTTCGGTGGAGAACCGCCGGGTCACACCCTGGATGAGGTTGGCGAAGGAGAAGGAGCCGCCACCAAAACTGCAGGGCGGGAGAGCAGCACAGTGAGGGGCCCGGGAATGATGCATGTTAGTGGGCACTGGCACTGACCCTCACGCCCAGCCTGCAGGTGCACAGGAGCAGGGGAGAGAGGACACGCCCAGCAGACTCCACCAGGCCTCCCTGGAGTCAGGACTAGAACACAGGACCAAGGCCAGTGCGCAGGCTCCCCTCTCCCCAGAGGGCACTCCCACCCAGGGCAAGAGGGACTGGGTCGTCCCCGCCTTCCTGCCCACTCCGCACTCACTCCTCAAACAGCTTCCTCCAGTTGCTGCGCACGAAGTCCCACACCAGCGACTGGCCCACCACGTTGCTGGCGATGCTGATGATGGTGGAGGTGGCGTCCTGCCTCCGGATGAGCGCAGAGTTCAGGGTGTAGCTCAGGTACCTGCGAGGCAGCAAGCCAGGCTGCTCAGCACCAAAGGCCGCGGCCAGGGGTACAGGGGGTGGGGTGGGAGCGGCGGCAGAGTGAAAGGGACAGACCCTGGGCCTCCTCCAGTGTCCAGGCAGGACGAGGGCTGAGGGACCCCTCACTCCTCCCTCCCCCTGCGGATGGGAAACTGAGTCACCCACGCAGGCTCCCAGGGTCTCTGCCAGGCCAAGCATGGCTCTGACATGGAAATGGCCCAGGCCCTGTTGCCAGCCAGGGGGGCTGCTCCATCTTTGAATTTACATTGAGGATGGCTCTTTCTCTTTTTCTTTCTTTTTTTTTTAAATTGCAGGCCCGGGAATTGAACCGAGGGCCTTTGCATACATCTCCAGCCCTTTGTTTAATTCGTTTTGACACAAGGTCTTGCTAGGTCTCTTAAACTGCCCAGGCTGGGCTTGAACTTGGGAGCCTCCTGTCTCAGCCTCCCAGAGTGCTGAGATGACAGAGGTGCATCACCATGCCTGGCCATCTTTGATGGCTTTCTCTTTTTGATGTGTGTGGT